TTTTTTTTTTTTTTTTTGAGACAGAGTCTTACTCTGTCACCCCAGGTAGAGTGCAGTGGCATCATGATAGCTCACTGCAACCTCCAACTCCTGGGCTCAAGCAATCCTCCCGCCTCAACCTCACAAGTTGCTGGGACTACAGGTGCACGCCATGATGCCTGGCTAAGCAACTAATTATTTTAATACATCTATTAGTAATAGGAAAATGTCACTCTACCTGAGTCCATTTTTTGGTGCTATTCTGCATTTGAATGGCTGCAATACAGCTGAACAGCTTTTCTGATGTGATATCTTCTGGCAATTTAGTTAGAAACTGTGCTATATGGATGAAGTCCATCTGTAGGAGAATATCTTCATATAATCGGAGGATTCCTAATCCAGTCCTAAATAAAAATTCTTCCCCATCTCTGCAAAATACATCCCAGACTCGACAGGCCAGATCAAGTGGTAGTGATTTGCTATACAGTGTGAAAATCCTAAAATTAGGGAGGAAAATGGTCATTGAAGTTTTTCATTCATTGATTCATTCACTCAGTAAGCATCTCTATAGAAAAAGAACAGTGCTTAGTTAGAGATTAAAAAGGCAAATAGAACATGGCTTCTTCCCTCAAGCTTGTGTACTGAGAAACTAAGTAATAAATAACAAAATTATGTGAATTTACAACCTTATGTAGAGGAAACACCTAATACAAACTAAAGTGGTAGAACAACCTAGTAATTAAGGGTATGGGCTCTGAAACCAGAATGCCTGAGTTTGAATTTGCCACTTATTGGTTATGTTACCTTGAGCAAGATATTTATCCCAACTGTGCCTCAGTTTCTTCATTAGTCAACTAAAGATAATAATACCACCTAGCTCTCAGGATTGTTTTGAAAATTAATGGAGTTAATAAATGTAAAGTGTTTAGAACAGTCTTTGGCACATAAGAAATGCTTAATAAAAGTTACTTACTGTATAAAGAACCCAAATACCATCTTTTAGTAATCTAATATAAACACATAAAGTCTGACCTCTCTTTTCTCTTCCCCTTCCATAAACATCCATTGTTTTGTTTTTTTTTCCCCTCCACCAAGCTTTACTTACTACTTCTTTAGAAGCATGTATACTTTCCAAGAGAATCATCAAAATGATTTTTCCCATCCTTTCTGACAATCTCTGACCATGTAATTCTTTTTTTTTTTATTTCAGCATATTATGGGGGTACAGATGATTAGGTTACGTATGATGCCCTTGCCCCCTCCACCCGACCATTTAATTCTTTATCCAGCGGTGCTTTGGGAGGCATTCTGGTTGGGGAAGTGGGGAGAATAGGTGCTAGAGGACTTGTCTTGAAGTTGCCTTGGCAAAGAAAGTACAGTTTTTTACACTGATTGTGTGTTTATTTGAGGTAGAGCTGATGGAATTTGATGGAACTAAAAGCTCTCCCACAAAAAAAAAAAAAAAAACACCCTTTAGCATTGCCACTTATTTATTCCTATCTTACGAAAATGATTCTGGGGTTTGTATATAACAAGCTCAACAGAGGCAGTGAAACAAAAGTCCATTTTTATTTCTTAAATTATAAACACATTTTAATTGTATAACGAAAAGCAAACTTCTGGTAGCACAGAGAATACTAACTCACTGTTCAAAATGAGAAAAGGTATGAGGAGTGCCTAGGCACAGTTTCTAGTACACAGTATTCACTCATTATTAGTTTCATCTTGTCTTCTAATATAAATTGTGATCTTGATATGCCTATGTTCACACTT